ACATAATATTTTTCTTTTACCAGACTTAATCCCAAGTTCAACTCTTCTGGAAATCATGGCTATGTATATGTAAAGGCTTAAAGATTATACTATTTCAACTGACCTAGCCACTCTTGCAGCCAGAGACAGCTGTTGAGGGGACAGTTTTCCCTAGACTTTTGAACAGCTCCGGATCTCAACTCCAAACTGAAGCTCAGTTCCTACAGCTGGCTCCTGCCCCACTAAGGGCAGATAAAGCAAGAAGGAGGTTTGGAATTCCTACTAATTAGCAAATGACTTCCCATGATCCCACAGCAGTGAGTCCCATAGCAAACTTTATGTGTGACCTCAGTCTCCTTAGCCATCGGGCTTCCGCTGGAGGGTGGTGTGATACACAGTGGAAACTGTTTACATCCTTCAAGGTCAGCTAAGGAGACTGTCAGTCAACTGGCAGCTGCTAATAGCAACAGCTTTTAAAAAGGATTAGAACTGATCTTAAATGATTTCAAACATAATACATTTTTGTACAGTTGTGCGCTACAAACATAACACAATACCTTTTTCTACAATTAATGCAGCACAAAACAATGAGCTGGCTATTACCTTTGAGATTTTTCTTTTCTTTAGTGAGAAATAAAACCACACCACTTTATTGTTGCCAATTGCTCGATTATTCAGAAAAATGTTCTCAATTCCTTAAGCTTCAGAGAGAAAAAAGTCTCATTTCTTTTCCAGTGCAGTGATATGTATTATATATGAATATGACTAGGCAGCTAAAGGTTACCCAGGGGATAGAACTATTTTCTAAATCCAGAAATGAATCCCTTTAACAATGTGAGGAGCACCGCTCTGTTATTTTTTTCTAATAAACAATTTCTTGCCAAATCTGCCAAGTGTTAAAAGCATTTATCAATCTCTTCACTGTAACACACAGCTTTATAATTTAACAACTCGTATCAGGGAGAAATAAATCTTTTCACTATAAGGAGAGAGAACGAATTTAGAACAAGAGAATAGAATACAATATATAAGGAAAAAAGAAAGCAGGTATGAAAATTTTGAAGAAAAGAAAAAGCAGCAGAAAAAGAGACAAAATAGATATTAAGAAGCAAATGGNCAGACAAGTTGATCGTAAAGAGGTCTTAAAGCTTTCCCTGAAAGACAGTGGCACACTATAGAAATTTAACAGCATGCTCTATTGCTGTTTGATTTGTCAAAACATCATTGTTTGCTATTTCCCAACTATGACTTTTCTCTCTCAGTGAGTGGGAATTCACTGACCCCAATTTACTTTAGAAAGGTCAGGCAAACTCTGCTCACACAGGCTGTCATTTCTTCTTCTGAATGAAGCATCAGTTGCCCTTTTTCATTACTTCTGTTAAAACCTTAGCTGGGTTTCTCAGTCCTACTATGCCAGTAAGATCCCACGTCCATCTCACTCTGCCCCTGACACTGTTACCAGATATACCTGATCATGTCCTTCTCCTGATCAAAATTCTGTAATTCTCCCTCCCAACCCAAGGCTACAGAATGGAGTCAACAGCTCTTCACCAGCTTTTAAGCTACTCTAGTACAAAAACAGTTGTCAAGTGTTAACAATCGAATAAAAAAAAATAGTCATTTAACTAAAAACTTTGTTCTTTCAGTGCCTCTCCCGATCTCCTTCTGACATGTCACTAACGGTCATCATGACCCTTCCATGCTTTCTTCTTAGCACAGACCAAAATAAAACTGTTACCCAGTTCTGACTCCACAGTCTCCTCATTCCTCCCATTGCTCAGCCTCCACATCATGTCTCAGTCTGGAAATCAAGGTTGGGCCCCTTCTATTCTCCACTTCACAGACCTCTGGTATTCTCACGCTATCTTCCCCAACCTCCCTACTCAAAACCTCCACTCCAGCCTAACTGAACCGTTCCTGTCCCCTAAACAAGTCAATACTTTTCTCCTTCTAATATCTTTAACACTATTGTCTGTCAATAATGTCCCCTTCTTCCTCTCTCCTGCTCAGTTAGTTCTACTCTTTTCAAGTCTAAATCATATCTAATCTNCTACCTGTACTAAGTAAGCTCTCAGTAAATACTTAAATAAATTAAAATACGATTTTAATAACAAAATGGAGACTGTTTACAATAAGGAAAGCTGTTGACTGAGAAGCAAGCAAGAAAATACTGCTAATTTTACTGAGGTAAGAAAATGAATTAATTCATGCCACAGAAAATGAACAAAACCCAACTGATTCCTCTATAGATAGACAGACACTTGTATACACACATACACATAGCCTATTACCTACTGAACGTCCCTATTAGGATTTTCTGTAGATTTTACCCTATTACAGTAATTATAATGCTGCAGCAGTCCTATTGAGAAATAAGCAGATGTATTTTAGGGGAATATGTTGAATGCCTTATATGTAAATATAATGTCAGCTTATGCAAATAATTTTCAAGACTTACATCCTATTCCCTAGCCTCTTTTAGGTCCTCGAAATTTTAATCCCATCAGCATGTAGCTGTCTGTCAGTTTCACTCCTCACACATACAGTCGCCCCCAAGACACTGACTTGTTACCTCCTTTTATTTTCTTTATTGCTGGCCCATGAGGGTTTAAGCATCTCCCTAAAACATGATCACTCACTGATTCCCAGGTCACCATGAAAATTGAAACAAAGGAAAATAATAGCTCACTCTGATTTAAATATAAATACTACTATTCATTTTTAAGGAGGCTTCAGTTTACAATTTCCAAATACACATTAAGCAAGCCAGGTGAAACAATTTCCAAAAAAAGACTAGACAAAAAAGACTAGTAAAAAAAGACTTCAGACAAAATAGAGGAACATTCTCTCCTTATAGAAATCAGAAGAAATTTGAACACATGCTTAACTCTTTTGTATAAAGTATGTAATTCAAAAACATCTAAATAAAGCATGAGAGAGACTGTCTAAGTAAAAACATTAACCAGAAATTATAAGATTAGACCCAAAAACTAAGAGGTAGTGGCTGATAAACGTGTCTCCTGAGACAGTCCATGATAACTATCATACAGATGCAGAATTTCATTGTAAAAATCTACTCCAAGACCACACTCCCTCCCACCCATCATTACATCCTTCCATTCCAGACAAATGACACCTTGGAGAAGCCTGATGTTCGCTACAGCCAGGATTAACAATAAGGTCTGTAGTACCCGAGACTTGTAAAACCACCTTTTAGGAGCATTCCCTAGATTTTAGGAACGCAGCCTTCAACAGGTAAAGAAATGGCTTCAAATCAAATCAACAGGTTTACCTTCACTTTTCCAGCAGCTTTAGAACCGGCAGTTATTAAGGAAGGCATGTTTTTTCCATAAAAAATCTGGGACATCTCATGAAAGGCTTCAGAAAAGAATCTTAAATCTATAAGGACTTCTATCTTTAAAGGAAAGGAAAAAAAAT